GACGCTTTGACTACTGGCAACTGACCAACTAGCACCTCTCCTTCCTTCCTTCCGTCCCCCCTTCGATGCCCAGGCGCACATCGGCTCTGGTGGCCTCGGCGGATTGTGGCGTTTGCAGAAACGTTTAGATGCAGGGTGTACATTGGTTCGAAGCTATAGTGAATGATGAGGCGTTTCTTTACTGAAGTGTGGTCTGGTTTTGGTGGAAATTCTGCTTTCGTTTTGTGTCTACGTAGCTGAAAAAGTATAGGTCTTGAAGTTCTTTGTAGATGAGATTTGCTCTGTCAGACGACGAGGTTTGCGTCGTGGAACTTCATACAAGCGAGGGTGTCATCACTCTGGAGTTGTATTATCGGGAGGCTGTATGTGCGGCAGAATCGTTTTTGCGACTTGCCGAGAGTGGGCAGCTGGACGGAGCCATGTTTTCGAGGATGGTTCCTGGATTTGTGTTGGAGTGCTCGCTGGGTGATAAACGCGCGTACGGTGAGCTTATCGAGGCTGAGGAGAACAAAGGGCTGCACCACACCGGTGCGGGTATCATCAGCTGCCCTCGTGTGGGCGGGAATGGGGTGGCTGGGGCGACGTTTTTCGTGACACTGGGACCGCAGCCGCACCTCGACAAGACGTGCACCGTGTTTGGCAGGGTCTATAGCGGCATGCGGGTGGTGGAAAAGATAAGCCAGTTCCGTGTCGCGAGCGATACGTTTCGCCTGTATTCGCCAGTGGTGATTTTGAGATGTGCAGTGCGCGTGCTGCCAAAGGAGCAAAGGCCTCCCTCTTCTTTAACAATTCCTGCTGCCGCTGCGCAGCATCCACCGAAGCGCTGTAAGGGCAGGACGAGCGTGCTGGATGGCTTGGAATAATGCCAGCAGCAGATGGACAGGGAGAAAAGTGTGAAATTGTTTTTCTGAAATGCTTGGGCATTAAGAGAAACTTCTGGCTCTTTTGGCTGTGCTAATCTCCTTGTCCGTTTTTTTTTCTTTTTCTTTCCTAATGCAACTACTAGCAAATCCAGCTCCAGGTTATATTTGATTTTGTTGTTGTTGTTTTGCAATGACGGAGAAGGTTTCCTGCTCGCCTGAGGCATTTCTCTTCGGCATGCTCGGAGCTGCCGGTTCCCTAGCATTCGCGAACATCGGAGCGGCTTTCGGAACGGCGAAGGCTGGAGTCGCGGTGGCGCACCTTGGCATCGTGCAACCCGGGCGTGTGATGCGTGGTATTGTACCAGTTGTTATGGCGGGTATCCTTGGTATCTACGGCCTTATTGTTTCGGTAATCATTAGCAACAACATGAAGTTGACTGGCTACATGCTCTTCTCAGGCTACATGCACCTCGGCGCTGGCCTTGCGGCTGGCATTGCCTCCCTCGCAGCTGGCTATGCCATCGGTATTGTTGGCGACATTTGTTGCTACGCGTATGCCAAGACCGAAAAGATATTTGTCCCCATGATTCTCATGCTCATTTTTGCCGAGGCACTTGGTCTGTATGGTCTTATCATTGCACTGCTGATGAACAATCGTGCAACATCGGTTGCCACGACGTGTGTGTAGCCTCGGCACTGTAGGTGAAAAGAGGTATAACGTGGTGTGCGACTACGCTCAATCAAGAGAGGCCACGGTAGTAAATGTGCAATAGAACCCAAACATGTATAACTTGTAGAATGCCGCAGTCTTCTTTTACTCGATATTTCTTGTCAAGTACGTTTTTATTTTGCCTTCTCTTTTACTTTCTTTTTAAGGAAGGTTGAACGACAGTGGGACTGGCAGTTAAATACACGCACCTCAGGCCGACATATATACTTACACGGGATGTCTACTGTCACATCTGTTTCAAATTATGACTCACCACTCGCTTCTCAGGGTGTTGCACCGAAGTCAAATGGTTTGTTTACATGGCGGCCGACGAACGCCGATCGGCTAGAGCAGAGCGAAGCACTCATGCTCCGTGGCATCAAATATCAGCAGTGCTTTGTCGCGGGCCTCAACACGATATCAAACGTAGAGATTCGCAGGGGTGGATCCGGCGGTGACAGAGATATCATGGTGCTGATTCATGGCTTCGCCGGTGGTCTGGCGTGCTGGGCACAGAACTGGGAGTTCTTCTCTGCGCAGTACGAGTTGTACGCTGTTGATCTACCAGGCTTCGGGCGCAGCGAACGGCGTGACGTGAATGTGGAATCGCTAGAGGGTGCAATGGGTTTCATCTGCGCGTATCTGGATCGCTGGTTCGGCGAGTTGGAGTTTACTCGCCCCGTCATCCTGCTGGGGCATTCGTTTGGCGGCTTCATCGCGGCGCACTACGCCGTCGCGTCCGGACCCAGGCGTGTGAAGCTCCTGGCGCTTGCGGACCCATGGGGCGTGAATGAAGCGGACCACGACCGAGTCGACCGCGCGCCGGTGGTCATTCGGATGGCCCTGAAGATGTTCTACGCCATCAACCCACTCGCACCACTGCGCGCCGCGGGCCCCGCTGGGCCGAAGTTATTTCGAATGGTGCGGCCAGACTTTGCGAACCGCTGGAAGAGTTACCTCGACGACCCAAAGGTCTTCTACGATTATACATACCACTGCAATGCGCAACTCCCCCCGGTTGGGGAAAAGCTATTTAAGGCGTGCTGCCACGGCGATGTTGCCGCCAAGAAACCACTTATTGAGACCCTGCCGATGCAATTGTCAAAGGAGATCCCGTTAGCGGTTCTGTACGGCAGTCATACTTGGATGAACGCGGAACGTGGGTTTACGATGGTTGATATCATGAGAGAAAAGGGGTATCGAGTGAGGGCTGGAACAATCATGAATGCGGGACATCAAGTCTTCACCGACAACGCCCAGGAGTTCAATGAGCAGATGTTACAGGCACTGCATGAGTTGCTGAACGAAGAAAATGCTGGTGATAGCAATATCGCTTGATGCAGTTGGGGGTGGCGTGTGGTGGGCGACAACAAAATGCAAGGAAAAAGTATATTCTCATGGTTTGAGTTTTTGTGTTCTTTTTTTTTTTTGCTTGAGTGCATGTTTTAATCCTACGGGTTTTGTTGGCATCCGATGAGGAAAGGAGTCTGCATACCCTCCCTGTTGCGGTTGCGGTTGCGGTGCTGCCTCTCTCTCTCTCTCTCTTTCTTCATCCCCCTTTTCTGCTCCTGCCGTCCCCTGCACAAGGTGCCCCTCCCTCCCGTCGATACAGAGGGAACGAAAAGGTAGAAACAAAGCGAGAGAGAGAGAGGCAGAGAACTGCGAGGTGAGAATGTGGGAGGAAGTGTACACCGGCGCCTGCGCCGACTCGGGCGTAAACCCCCGCAACGAGGTGCTCGCAGTGGAGGCCGGCAGCGTGCAGCTATGCGGCAACACGTTCGAGCGTTTCAATGAACGCGTCACCGACGCCGAGGTGGTGGCGCTTTCCGAGGCCTGCGCACGGCTTCCGCTCGTGTCGGAGCTGCACCTTGCGTACAACAACGTGTCGCTGCGTGGTGCCACCGCGCTGGCCGACGCCATGCAGAAGGGGTTTAGTAGTTTGCAGTACCTCGATGTCTCCTACAACGCGCTTGACGCGGAAGGCGCGAATGCCATCTGTGTCGCTGCTGCAGCGCATCCTTTGCTCAGCACGCTGCTGCTGCGCGGCAACCCGATCGGGGGAAACTGCGGGCCGTGTATGCAGCAGATGCTGGAGCGCAGTACCGCCCTCACGACGCTCGATCTCGAGGGTACCGACCAGGATATGAAGTCGCTTGTGTGCATCGCGCGGGGACTCGTGCAGAACAAGACACTGGCGTCGCTGAACTTGGGGAGGCCGCTCATTAGCAACCCCGACGACGTTGCGTACGTGGTGCGTCACCTCATGCTCGCCCTGAGGGAGAACAAGACACTGCAAAACCTGGGCCTGAGCCACTTCAACATGACAGATGAGGATCTCGACCTGCTGCTGTCCACGCTCCGCGACTCGGCGGTGGTGTGCCTCTCGCTGAAGGGCAACAAACTCTCGCAAAGCTCCGGCGCGGCGCTGGCCCAGCTTCTGGAGCAGCGGCCCGACTTTGCGGCGCTCGACGTGACGGCCAACCGCCTGCGCGATGTGGGCGCAGCTTCCCTTGCGGCGGCGGTTGCGGCGCACAACGGGCTACACGCGCTACACATCGGCAACAACACCATCGGCGGCCGCGGCATCAGCGCCATCGCCGAGGCGGTGACGGCAAACACGTCGCTCACCTCGCTGCGTCTCTGGGGAAATGACTTCTCCGACGAGTCCGTCGCCGACTTGTATGTAGTGCGTGAGAAGATTGAGTCCATGGCGGACGTCGACTTTAGTTTTTACGTTGTGGACGGCACCCCGATGTTAGCCCGTGAGTGACAAGATATGTAAGAAATGCATTCGATGAGCGCCGTTCTTCTTTGGTCCCGCTGAGATCGGCAGCAGTTTCACTTGTGTTGTTGTTTGTTGGGTTACTTTGTGCGCTCTTGCCTCTACCTCTTGCTGCTTGGCTCCTAAGCTTCATTTATTTTTCCTCCGTCATGCCCCTTCGTTTTTTTTTTTTTGTTTCGTTTCCTTTCTGTATACCTGTAGCGTTGTTCCCGCTCATTCGGGCGTGTCACTTTGCAGGGCGTACGATGTTCGTGCCCAACCAGAACCAGCTTTACGCGCTGTACATGTTCCGATGCGGCGAACTGCGCGTGGGGAAGCCAAACAAAGAGATGCTCGCACTGCTGGCCGAGGACGATCGGGCGTGGAACTTGCGGCTGAGGGATGAGGCACGCGAGCGCGAAATCTCCGTCGACGACCTGCAGGAGATTGAGGCCGACACGGCAGAACGGCAGCGCGAACGGGAGGCGATGGTACCGCTTGCGATGCGCCGCGTGCTGCGCCTGGAGCCCGAATGGTGCAGCAGCAGCTGCGTCAGTAGTAGTAGTGACGATCGCGTGCACGTGGGGGCGCGTGGGGCGTTAGCGATTGTGGAAGTGGCGCGCGAGCTGCCGTTCATGGAAGTTCTCGATCTCTCCAACCTCACCTCGCTGTACCTGGCGGACCCGTACCAGTGCGACGGCGTCACCGGCAACGACGTCGTCAAGGCGATCTGCGGCATGGCGGCCACGCACCCGTCGCTGCGCGTCATTGACGTGGCGGGTCAGCCCATCGGCACCCTCGCCGCACACAACTTCCTCGAGCTTCTTCGGTGCAACCGGCGCATTCAGGAGTTGCGCTTTGACCGCGAGGAGGTCGACCACCGCCTGTTGGCGTACATCGACAAGGAGCTCCGGCGCAACGCCACGACGCCNGAACCCGCCGCCGTCATTGCGCGGCTGCCCGTCCTCGACAGAAAAACGGTTCGCGAGCAGCAGCTCCTGCGGCGGCTCATGGAGACGGAGATCGGCCTGTGCGGCATCATGTCGCCGGAAGAGATGAGCGAGGCGGTGCTGCACGCGCGCACAATGTCCACCACGGAGGTCGTCACGCGGTCGCGGGGGCTGCGCGGTGACGGCGTGCATCTCTTCCTCCTCAAATCCGGCGTGCTGCGCGCGGCGGCCGTGCCCCGCGGCTTTGAGCTCACGCGCGGCGACTTCTTTGGCGAGACGTACGCAGATGTGCTGTTCAGTCAGGACCTGCTAGAGGAGGCGGTACGCGGCGTCGTCTACTGCATCCCGCTCGCGCACTTGCGCCCCCTCTGCGAGGAATGGGCGCGGCGCGTCGAGGCGTACTTTCCGAGGCTGCGCTACAGCGCGCTGCTGCAGGCGGTGGACGTATGGACGCGGCTGCGGATGTGCTGCTGTGCGGCGCCGCATGAGTTCAGCGGTGGCGAGACGGCAATTTCGCCCGGCGACGGTTTCAAGGGCCTCTTCCTCGTGACTGCCGGGACGTTCGGTGTTATCGGTCGCACTTTGAACGCCCCGCGCGTGCGGGAGTTCGCCGTTGGGGACGTTTTCGGCGAGGAGGCCCTGTTAGCGCGGCGGCAGTGCAGCTCCGTGACGATCGTGGCGGAGCGTGGCGAGGTGACGTGTGGCTGCCTCGTCGTGGCAGGCTGTGCAGCACGTGTGGTGGCAAGCCACCTGCGGCCAGTGCTGCTTGCGCTCGCCGCCACGTATTCGCAGCACGAGGAGCTGCAGCCCATCGCAAAGTAAGCACACTCCAGAAAGAAAAAAAAAAAGAAAGGGGTAGAGGGATGTACATATGTCGCATGAAGTTCAATGAAATGCGGTCTGCTGTGGTACACGCAGGAAAGGTTCTCTGCTTGCACCTCTCTTTCAGCTGTGTGTATGCATTGATTTCCTTTTGTTTCTTTCTTGCTCTTGCTCTTGTCGTCGCCCCGCTTGTGTGCATCTGCTGAGGGCGTGGATGGGCGGAAAGCCGTCGAGCAGTGCGGAGGAGGCGCCGCAGTTTGACCCCGCGGCCGCTGAGAAGCTCTGCAAGGAGGCGTACGCCGCGGGTGCGTTCGACGCCTCGATGCACTACCAGGCGCTCCTCGACTCACAGTGGCGCTTCGACGCTGCTGCGACTGCGGGCGGGTGCGCTGCGACGCTGCTGCTGTCCTACATGTACTTCAGCACACGCATGGCACAGGCAGTGCAACACCTCGAAGCTGAACGGGCGCTCGTGGCGCGCCTGCAGCACGAGAGCGGCGAGATGTCAGCACAATGGGACAGACTCGTGGAGGCGAATACGCGGCAGTTAGATCTGCTGCAACGCCACGAAGCGGCGCTGCGAACCGCGCGCCGGCGGCAGGCGGAGTTGCGGCACGTGGTTGCCAAGCTGCGGCGCCGCGGCAAGTGTCTCGCGTGCGAAGTGAACGCACTGAAGTCATCCATCGCGCAGCTGCGGCAGCACGTCACTGTTGTGTGTTGCGGCGGGGG